ACTCAAAGTCTGATTTTTTATGCTATCATAAAAGGAGTCATGAAGTTTAAGTTGAACATTTGAGACATTTCCACTCCAATTACGAAAAGTCAGTTTTCTGGTGAAAAATGTAAAATAATGAAAAACTCCATAATGCTACTAAATGATGATTGCTGTCATGTAGTCTCAGATAGTTCATTTATTTTTGATTTTTTACTGACTTTAAACACTCGGTTAGCTTAATGCAAACAAAGTCTGAGGAAATCGCTCATGCAGAAATCACTGCTGTTTGTAGGGTTTCCTGTGTTTACTTACAGGTCTCCATATCAGAGCAGCAATCACAGAGGTCAGTGCTCCATTGGCCAGAGTTTTCAATGGTCCTGATGACTGTCACCACCTGGGTGGGCTGCTGGCGGACGGCCATGCCTGTAGGAAACACAGACACAGATTGAAACGCTGTAGTGGTTATCTTGTGAAAAGAGAAATTTAATGCTAGATTATGAAAAAGGTGAAAGACTGGTTTTGATACATGTTATAACAGGATGACAACAAATATATTTGGCCAGCTGTACGAATGATTTATGTACGGCCCAGACAAAAGAGCTGACACTGCTTTTATGCACAGATTTATTATCTCTGACTTCCTCAGAAAAATGTTACCACGTATTACATTCATGATTTTACAAAGATTTCTGATTCTCTTAAGCTGTTCATCAGTGTAAAATGTTTTTCTTACCTTCTTTGGTCTTCTCTGGTTCTCTGAGCTTTCAAGACAAGAGAAAAAGTTAGGAAACACCAGCATTTAAGCACAGACCAATAACAGGAAGGGGAGGTGCCGAGATACGCACACACACTCCTAATTTGTATTGTACTGGCAGATGTTTTTGGGTTGCTCGTGAACTGCAGATGGCTCAGCCTGATGGAAAGTCCAGACTTATTCTGTGAATTTATCAGTACTTCTGCTGTCAATCCAAACACATTTGACACAAGAGGTGGGAAGTAACGAAGGACAAATACTTTATTACTGTACTTCAGGTATCTGTACTGTACTTGAGTAGAGATTTTTTCTGACTATTTTTTACTACAAATATCTGTACTTTGTACACCTACATTTTGTAAAAATGTTACTTTTGCTTTAACGCAGTTCTGTCACTGTGAGCCTCCAAACATCAAACTAGTTTGAGCCTAAACAGAAACCTATGACAGGCTTTTTTTTTATAAATCACCAGAGGATGTTGCATAACAAGAGATGACTGTGCCAAAGTCTGGAGTTAAAAGTGGGACTGTGTTTTTTTGTATTTGTTTCTTTTTGCACAACACCAGAACGACTGCAGGTGTCTGTAAGTTGTGGTTTAGCATCTAGCTTGCGATACTGAAGAGGAGCGAGCATAAAGGGAGTGACGTTTTTTTAAGTGTCAGGTCATTTTAAATGCAGTGTTTCTATCAGCTCACAAACAGAGAGAGGAAGAAAAGAGGGTAGATTTAAAGGTAAGGACTGCTCATCTGACTGACTGACTGTCACATTCTCCTGTTTAGAGGAAAAGTCACCCTCTACAATGTGGACAACAGTAAATAGAAATACTTTTTAGTTTCAAGCTGAGTATAATTAGATTTTTTTTTTTAAGTTTGTATTCCCATCTACTGATATTATTTTATCATTATGTTAATAAAGCACAAGTAAGGCAAGTATTGTAGTGAGTGGTGGATTGTCAGATGTTTTTCGGTTGCTCGTGAACTGCAGAGGGCTGAGCCTGAAGGAAATTCCACACAGTTCCTGTAATGACTTTCCAGTAACTGGTATGATGAAGGGTCAAGAGTTCACTGGGTCTCTGCTTCAGTGCTGTGAAATGGAAACACTGCTTAACCAGTGAGCAGCAACAAGATGTATTCTATCAGTCTTGACACCAGAAGTGGGAAGTAACCAGTGTTGGGTAAGTTACTTTTAAAAAGTAATTAATTACTAATTACTAATTACTTAATCAATATTGTATTTAAAATACTTATCTAATTACTGTGTCTGAAAAGT